GTAAATACGAGTTTACTAAGATATTTAAAGTTATGTATCATTAGTTCAAGTTACTTATGTCAGTGTATATATTTTTTTATTTTAATATTGAAAAAGAAAAAAATGTTCGACTTTTTGTTTCAGTTTGGTTGATTTAACGTTCCACAAAAAAAGTTACAGATTACTTATTACGTTTTAGAGTTGTATTTACGCTATGCTGATGTTGCTTTTAATATCTTAGGTTTGCATAAACAAATTCCATTTTTAGAAATACATTAACATTAAAAGTGACGAAGTGTGTGTATCTTTTTTTAAACTTTAAATCCTTTTATTTTCAGTAAAAAATCTAGTTAAATTTTTTTTTTTCAAATGGTGCTTTCGTTGAAACACAATAAATTTTAACAACTTTTATTCACGCTTTAACGTCGCCGTCGCGCATTTGAATAATGTAAAACATGCAGCTGTTATTTAATCGTTTTCTCAAATATATTTAGGTCAGACATTGATGCCCAAAAAGTTTGTTGATTTTTAGGGATGTTGAATTTCGAAAATTTTTTATTAAATGTTTTATTATATAAAAGTGTATACATATGTATCGATCGGGAGCGGTTTCTTTTTATTTTTTTTTTTACATACCGCGCTTCTAATGGCTGCCAATTTCAAAAAAAAAAAACTGGTCTACTTAGTATGTTATTAGTCTGAAATCTGAAGTTGGGTATGAATTATCCTACAAACTTTGTTGGTATTGCAAATAAAAGAAATTCATAATTTCGTAGTGTGTACATGAGCGGCTTTCATTGCAGCTGGTGATGCAATAATGTTTAAGGCGGGACCCTATATTTGCGTAAAACGCTGAGTTCATGAAAATGCTTCCGTTATTTTCTTAGTACGATGTAGGGAAAGCGTCAAATGAGCCGCACGTGCACACACTCATTTTTCCAGCCGATCAATATGGTCACAACGGCTGTTGTTGCACAGCAACAAGCTCCTTTCTTGACCAGATCTTTGCGGCGTAAAGTGTCATATCACTTTCATGGATGTTCGTTCATTAACATTTTTAGTTGCGTTTGGGCACGCAGTCTATATAAAATCATATAGAACAGTGTGCAAATAAAGATATGCATATATATAACAATTATATGTGTACATATGTATATATTCAATAAAAATATATTTACTTATATGTAAGTATACAGTTGCATACGAAAATATATGCGTCTCAAAAGTATATATGCATCACTATCATCAGGCATGTTGTAATAGGCAAGTGAACAAACAAGTATGAAATATGCTGCACGCACACTCACAACTACACACGCCAAATGACAATAATTTGTTAAAATAATAACATTTATGTAACTACAGTACAAAGAGAAGATATTTTGTCGAATGCTTTTACTACCTTTTTTATATTTGACTTAAAGTCGAAAGATAGACATTAGTTTATAACTATTATACAATCTTCCATTTGTGGTCTCTATATCGTTGGGTAAAACGTAAGCAGCAGTTATTCATAGCGCCGAAGATACAAAATACTACAGTACGTTTGTGCATTGGCTAAAGCTAAGGCACATATGCATAAAACCGAGATGTGCTTTATTGATGGGCTAAGTGTACTTATTGAAGCAACGATTGAAAAAAAAATACCTTGGCTTAAAAAAGTAGAATTTGCGAATTAAGTCTCCTTGCAAACAGTATGTTAGATACATGTGACTTACAACCCCATCTTTGCTCATCTGTCAATTTTGGCACATTGAGATGACAGTATCAATATGCATTCCCATCTCTTCTTAGCTATTAAGGCAAAATAGAGGTATTTGTTTGCAATTATTTTTATTACTTTTTTGCTTTGTTCGTGTTGGTATGTACTTGTGTACATATTATGATGGTAAATGCTTTAGACGGAACCTTTAAAACATATACTTGGGACGTATTGAGTTCGCTTTGCTCCTTATGCATCATTAATTTATTGTATTTGCATGTACATACATACACTCATGAAGCACTTGATATATTTTTAAAATACACTCTTCGTCAGTTTACTTGTTGTTAATTAGGTGCAACTACTCAAATTACGCGCTGATATTGAACGCAGTCGATAATTTTCCGTAAATGTTTTTTTTTTTATTCGTACTCACTACTTTTTTCTTTTTCAAATATATATGTTAACAGTTAAAGTAACAATCAAAAAGTTCTGCATCATAATGGTTTTTTTTATCAATTTACAAATGTATTAGTAAATCAAAAGTCAATGCCAACTTAGTGTATACATATGTATGTATGTACTAAAATATGTATCAAATCTTTTCATCTTTAGTTTTTAAGATAACTACGATATATATAAATATAAATACGTTTTTGTTTTTGTTTTTCATCTTCGTGATTGAAAGTAAAATTTTACAACACTAGTTTTTGGGTGTTTGGAAAAATATCCAATGAGGGGATCATGCGCCAAGTAATAACAAGTAGTTCACATTGATAATGCAATATTATCATTTTTATACTGCATATCATTTAAAATGTTATTACTCAAGCAGCGATGAAGAAGTGGTCTTATAGTTATTCTTTCTTACTTATATTGTTGGTAGTTATTGCTATTTTTATGGTGATAACCGGAAGGGTTATTATAACTGTAATTTGAGTTTGATTGTAAATTGCTATGTGTTTGGTATTTACCGTATCCATAGTCGTAGCCATTGTAATAGCCACCGCTGTAGTAGTCTCCATATCCAGGATCATAACCACCAGCATAACCGCCATATGGGGCATAACCGCCTTGACCAGGCCATTGTGGATATCCTAAGAAAGAAAATAACACATGAATTACACTTCACAACAGTGAAATTTTTGATCTAAATTCTTTTGGAGCTGTTCGTAAAGGTGCCATAATTATGTATATGTAGGTTTCACCGATCGCTCGGGTTCGGTAACAATTTCGGACAAATAACTTAGATTCGCATATTGTCAAAGGTAATTATATAACTGCATTAGGGAGATTTTACCTCAAAAACAACTCACATAAATTACGTAATGAAACTTTTGGTCTGAATCCTATTAGCTTGTGGGATAGACATTATTCAGACCAGTGATAAGCATATTTAAATACTTTTGTAGTAGATATTTGGATGCTAACTATCCTAAGATTTAGTGTACGTTAGTGAAATATTTAATTTCACATTAAACAACTTTTGCAATTATCTAATCATTCTAGGATTGAGATGGTGCTATAGAACTAATACGTATGTTAGAGTAAGAATATAGCCTGACTAGGTGACTACAAAATGATTAGAGCTGATTTTTAGGAATTTTCAATTAAAATACAGTTCATTCTCTTACAAAACCCTATAAAGTCAAGTTTAAAACTTTGTAGGAAACTACAAAAAAATTGAACAAATTTTCACCCAAATTTCAACTTTTTTCTCCAAAGTGTTAAAGAGTTTTCTTGAGTACCATTGATTCTTTAGAATTTTTTTCGCCGAAAGTGTTGCGGGTTTCTTCCATATAAAAATAGCCACTTGAATCAGACTGTAGTATTTGAATCAAGTGAAAAGTAATACCTAAAATAAACTTATGTTGTGTACCCAAAAAACTGAAAAAGCAGTACAATTGAATTTCACAACTAATTCTCGTTTCGAACATACGATGGCTTCAACCTATGGTCACCGTGATAGGTTTTTTTGGCTTTAACGAGAATTGTAAATGTTTTCGGATGGCGCTCCAGTACCTTAAATAGTATCGAGCTTTTAATGGTGTCCTCACATCCCGTAAGAAAACATATTTGCATAGCCGTAAATCTTTGGGCACTTAAACCACCTTACTACCATGAGTTGATGTTGCGATAGGACGAATTTTTTCGAAGTATACGTGGAGTGTCGAAAAAAAATCGCCCGGTAGCTTCATCGCTATGTTTATATGCTCGAACCGTTTATCAGGCACTGAAAATTTCTGATTTTCGCTACGTGTATGACGCGTAACTTTACACCGCTGACATTGCTGAAAATTCACCACCAATGCTCGTATATCCGAGTTCATACTCTTCTTCACGAATTTGCTTGCGATTAGCTTGACGCAAGTTTTAACGCCCGGGTGAGCAAGCCCTTGCAGGGCCTCAAATATCACCTTACGAAATGATTTGAACGAAGTCTACCGGTGGAGATGTCGCAGACTATATCTATGTCAGAGTTCTACAGTCTGTGCTTGCTTAACTGCAACGAGATCGAATTTGACTACATCAAATTTTTAAGCTCCCCGCGACTTGACTGTTCCTCTGGAAGTACCGCATAGTTTGTGGATGAGTTATCAATATTCTCTATGCGTTATAGCATGCTCTGCAACTATATTATTTTCGCACAGAACATCCACTATTTTAACCGTAATATTGGCTAATAAAATCTAGCTGTCGTGCCTGCCAGCTGGTTTGTCTTTTTTTCTGCTTGTGGTCAGGTCAGTATAAATATAAATTGCGTGCCTTCCAACAAATAGCGGAAATATTTCACAACGCCATTTATTTCGCCATTCACGATCATATGTACTATCTATATCGCTGCTGCGTCTTGCTGAATTTTCTTGAGAAAAATCCCAGCGGCTGCCAATCACCTTACATTCGTTGTTGGAGCACCGCTCCCATTGCCTTATCCGACGCATCGGTCATGAGTGCCATCTCACCACTAGCAAAGCTGCATTTGCTAATTGGTGTTTTACCTTTTCAAAAGCCGTCCAGTTTAACAAAGATTTGTCGCGCTTTTTTCAAGGTCCCAATATCTTATGTAGGGAGGGGGCATCAATTTTTTTGGATATGTAGTTATTTCGCGCTCTTTGAAGTTCATTAGCATAGAAATTCCTATACTGTTTATACTTTTGCCAGGCCATAAAAGAGCTGGACCATTTTGCTGCATTATATAATTGAATTTTTCTTTGTTTCATATTGCGTAATTTTCTTCCAAACCACCCATCAAAATTCCTTCTGTTTGTAACTGTTCTAGTTATAACCATATTCTGAATGGGCTCTTTTAATTTATCACTGAACAGGTCAACCATCTCGTTCAAGTTATTAGCATTCTGCTTAATGTTTGCAAAACTTTTGTTTGCTATTTCTTCAATATATAGCTCTTTGTTAAAAATAAAATTTTTTATAGTGGTTTTGTGTTTTTTGCGATTTAGCTGTCCGACTTTTATATTAATTTCTATGGATTCGTGATCACTTATTTTATAATCAGTCTTAACGTTTGCTTCTATGACAGAAATGTTTGTCAATACATAATCTATCAAGGTTGCACTGGTTCGAGATACTCTCGTTGGCTCCAATACTATTTGTTTAAATGCATTGTCTGTTACTGATTGACAAATTTGTTGTCGGGAAGAACTATTCACCAGCCAGTCGATGTTGAAATCTCCCATTATCAGAGTTTCTGTAGCCGTCTCACTTAATTGTTCAATTTTTTCCTTAAAAAAATCACAAAATACACTGTCTGGAGATTTTTGCCTGTCAGGCGACCGATACAATCCAAATAACGTCATATTTACATTTTTTTGTTTGACCTTTATAATTAGACACCATATACTTTTCCCAATAGCCGTCTCCTCTATTATTTCACATTGCCATTCACGGCTTATATAGAAAAGAACGCCGCCGGTGTGACTTGATATACTATCACATCTCACTATTTTATAGTCACTGAGTTTCATTTCACTGTTGCTTATTGAATTTGTTAGATGAGTCTCGGTCACACAGATAAAATCGAATCTTGTAGAATATGATATAGCTTCAAGCTGGTTAAAATTTGTCCTAATACCACCAATATTCAAGTACAGACATTTAGTCGTCGACTTTAATTGCTAATACTGAATTCTTTCTAATTCAATTTTTAACTTTTTTTAATGCTTGACAATTAGTGTCCCTGCAGTCGTGATTCACACATAGGTCCGATAGATTAAATCTTTCTTTTGCTTTTACACAATTAACGCACCTCAGAAAATCATTTTTACACTGCCGGTGTCACGTCAGCGATGGTGAATATCCATGTTGTTTTTGTCCGTACGTATTTATACGAGTATTGTTTGCTGCTGCTAATTTTACTAATGGAGCTTGAGAATTGTCGTTATTGTTGCGTGGCGACACAGATATTTCTGCTCTGGTATCCACTAAAAAATAAAGTTTTGAATGTCTGTCCTTAATGAACCGACATGCGCCAGGCCCTATCATTTGATTAGTCGCCGAAAAAGACGGGCCAACTACTTTTCCTGTGCTTCAGGTCGAAAATTACAAGGTGCACCTGGTGGCACGGGCACCAAATCTGCGATGATACCAACACAACTCGCCCGATGGTGATCTTACATTACAAGAACGAGCACGAGGCGAATAGCTACGCTAACGGTTTGTAGCACGAATAACTGGTTTTGGCACTCCAGATTCTAAACACTCCAATCGCTTGTTCAATTCCACGATTGTGCCTTGCAAAGATGCGAGGCGCCTACATCGCCACTAACAACATTAATGCCAGAGTCATCAGCGACCACCACAATATTGGCCCTTATTATGAGTTGCATTCGATTTTCAATCTTCTCTGGTTATTGAACGATCGAAAGTCATATTCGTATTATGAGCTATGCAAGCGTGTCGAAATTTTCGTTGAGTATCGAATTTTCTATCGAACAGAATTTTCCTTTCGTTGGTGTAGCGAAATGTTAGAAAATTGTGAAAAATTTATAATTTTGCATTTCTACTTTTTGGCGGCTAGCCACTAATTTTAAACAATTTTTATTAATTTCATGCAGTTCTAACGTCGTGAATACTAAACACAAGCTCGAAAGTCTGGTTTTACTTATGAAGGAAAATCGTCAATACGCTGTTGGCACGATCTCTGAGAAAGAAATCATCGAGTTGTTTAGTTTTAATATATTTCAAATGGATTTGGATCACAAAATTTCTTAAATATATTGTATGTCAAAATATATTCGAAAGACTCCCCTTAATCTCTTTCAAACCTTAAAGCTCAAACAGACGGCAGCGGTAATCCCGATTAACTCGAACTTAATCCGTATTAACTCGGACTTAATCCGGATCAACTGCAGTTAGTTCCCGAGTGGATCCGGATCAACGCTGCCGTCTGTTATGCTTTTAAACGTTTTCTGCTCCCAACCAGTTTTCTAAGCTCTAATCCTCTGACGAATCGTTCAACCAGAACTCCGTTGTACTAATTAAATTTTTTTTTACCTTGTTTTTATAAACTCGCTTTCCTTTTATTTCATGTTAATTTGCACAAATTTACATATGTATATATGTACAAGCATACTATTTAGTTTGCTCCATTTGTTAACAAGGTGTTCGCACGATATGATTTTGCGTTTAACTTTTGGGTTCAACTCACGCAGGGTTGCACGAAAAAAACGTTCAATGGCTAAATGTTGGCTGGCGACCACATTTTTTTTTTTTCGTGCAACCCTGCGTGAATTGAACGCAAAAGTGGCCTGAAAAATCGCCTCGTTCAGAGAATTTCAGAATGCAAGTGTCTACCGTGCATCGTACGAATTCATAATAGGGGGCTAAGTTACGAGTAAAATATGAATTTTTCTGAAACATTGTGACCATACCTTTACTAACTTGTCTACAACAAAACTAAATACAAATTTAAATACATTTAAATATACAAAGGCACCCGGAAAGATAATACATATAAAAATAAAAAAATACAAAAAAGCAGCAATTTTATTTTGGCTTATTGCATTTCAAGAACTTACCACCACGTCCAAAGCCGCCGCGTCCACCACGCATACCACCGCGACCACCACCACGCATAGCCATCATTTGGTTTTCGGGTTTGGGTGTCGCACGCTTGACATCTACTTCCTTGCCAGAAATTTTCTGCTTAGGGGTCTTCAACAATTCATTTACGACCTGTTCAGAGTCGAATGTGATGAAACAGAAACCTTTACGCTGCGACTTTTGCTTATCGAAGGGCAATTCAACATCAACAATCTATTCATTATTATTCAGAAAGACGAGATAAAAGAAAACATACATATTACTTCGTATACAAGCATTAAAATCGCATTTCTAACCCATTATTTTGGTGGAACTTACATTTCCGAATTGGCTGAAGTATGTTTTGATCTCATCATCGCTGATTTCATTGGTAAGACCGCCGACAAAGATTTTTCCATGACGCGCTTTGGCCTTTTTAGGATCAACCTTTTTATTGTTGATGACGTGCTCACCAGCAGCGTGCACCTTGTCGATAGCTTCAGTACTGGTGAATACAATGAAAGCAAAGCCACGAGAACGGCCAGTTTGCGGATCTGTCTTTACGTTTATGCTCTCAATCTCGCCGTATTTTCCAAAATGTTCACGCAGTTCCTCTATGAAAACAAAATTAGCATGAATTAAATTTAACATATTATGTAAATGTATGCATCAGTTTTATTCACTTACTCTCAGATGTCTCCCAGCTAAGACCACCGACAAAAAGTTTTCTGTAACGACGAGAAGATAATCAATTAGTTTTAGTAACCATTTAATCATTAAATATAGAAAAACTGAATCGTGTTGCAACATGAAAAAATATAAAATTTTACTTTCAAAAAATTTTGGAAAGTTACATTTATTATTTTCGTGAAAGGAGGTACTTAAATTTACTTTTATTATGGACGAATATACACTTCAAAAATACATCAAACTCACCTAATCTCTGCGAGCGAAGAGCACAGAGTCGTTAAATTTCTTTTAGATGTGAATACAAATTAAATTCTTTAGTATAAATAAATGAATGTAGTCGAGAGATGAGGAAGTCAATAAGTGAAACAATATTATATCTTAATTCATAGAAACAGCAAAAGTTTAGGATTTTTATTTTGTATCGATTAAACTAACGTTTGATGATTCACAGAGCATGAAATCAATTTATAATGTAAAAGGCCAAAACTGCAAAGACTGAATAATATTGTAACCGGATCGAACCTTTGAAACCAACAACGACAACCGATAATCGAATACTACATAAGTTACTATTATGCATACTGAGTGAAAGTTATATTTTTTAGGGTTTTTTTTTTTTATTATTCAAGCTGTTTAATTCAATTCTTACGCAAGAAACATTAATTTCTTTTTCCCGAAGCTGGTGTAATACACATCCATATATGNTTACTATTATGCATACTGAGTGAAAGTTATATTTTTTAGGGTTTTTTTTTATTATTCAAGCTGTTTAATTCAATTCTTACGCAAGAAACATTAATTTCTTTTTCCCGAAGCTGGTGTAATACACATCCATATATATGATATGCAAGTTTTGAGTATACGAATTTGCGATTTAAAACATCAACCAGGTGAATTGAATACTTTTTTAAATAAGCACTTCGAAAAATATTAAAATAATTCATGGCAATCCAATTCTTCAAGTTAAAGTTAATTTTGTGTATCTTGTATGGTTTTCTTCTGATTTATTTTTTTGATAGATAAATACCATCGACAAAATTGCCAGTTTGATGGTGCGATGATTCCGCCAAATACCATGATGATGTCCGATTCGTTTCTCATCGAGTATTCTGAAGTGATTGTTACTTCTTATATAGAGCTTGAAAATAATCTTACACACTGTTTCTTGAGTGTTGTATACGATCGATCGCATTGAATGTGCGCCACACTGTGATCCTCTGCCTTAACAGTGTACGAACATTAAGTTGTCTCTGCTCTCACATTTTGTAATGCGTCCATGATTCGTTTCGCTGCTGATGCCTTCGGTGTCTAACGCTTGTAATTTGTAGATGATGTGCTGATATTCCCATAAGCGTAGCTACAAATCGCTTGCTTTAGGATCATCACTCAATACCTGCCGGAGAGGAACAAGATTAGTTCGCTCAAACACAACAGGAAAGCAATGATGGTAAATAGGGTATTTTTATCCTATCGCAACAACCTTGCTATAATGCTCTTTTTTGTTTAAATTACATTTACATTTCGGGTACTGCATCGATGTCGGGTAAAAAATAGTCTAAAAACCAGTTCATTTTTACTCCATTAGCTTATGCATTTGTTTTTTTAACATTACATACTTTATTTTGAGAATATTCCGATGAAATTTGGTTCACATTTAGTTTTACGTCTTCTTTTAGTTAATAGTATTTCTCCAGGATGCTTAAAATCTTAAAATTTATACATTAACAAAAAATAGTAAAATTTTATGATTGATTTCGCCCAAAAACTCGAACCAGTTCTGGCGACACTTGATTGGATTCTGGCAAATACTAATCCCTTAATATATTGACTAATATTCAGTTATTGCAGAAATCTTACTGATATTCAAAAATATGAAGAAAACAAACTTTTGCTAAATTTGATAAATCAATTTTATTTTATTTTACATATTCAATTAAATTTAATAGTTTAGATTATAATAGACATTAAAAACTAATATTAACAAACTTTTTTCGCTAAATTTTGCAGCATAATTGATATTTGCAATATAACACATGTATGTATGTACATAAAAATCAGTTAAAGCTTATAAAATAGGTTAACTAACATTACTATGAAGTGGAATTCTTACAATATGAAGAACTTTGCATATTTTCCAATAATTTACGTCTAATGAATTTTGCCAGAAATCCAACCACTTTTATTCAGGAAGAAAATCGGTTTATATTTGCACAGTAATNTTTCGCTAAATTTTGCAGCATAATTGATATTTGCAATATAACACATGTATTTATGTACATAAAAATCAGTTAAAGCTTATAAAATAGGTTAACTAACATTACTATGAAGTGGAATTCTTACAATATGAAGAACTTTGCATATTTTCCAATAATTGACGTCTAATGAATTTTGCCAGAAATCCAACCACTTTTATTCAGGAAGAAAATCGGTTTATATTTGCACAGTAAAGATAATTTATAATTATATCGCACGGAAATCGATCGAATATAAATATGAAATCAAATTCTCTTTTAGCACGAAAAATCAAATTAAATCGTCTACAAATATTCAAAAGTTCTCAGCTGTCATCCCTACTGAAAAGTACCTACTCAGCTAACACCCCTTTCTCTTTGATCTGGCCACGTTGTAATTGCGCTTTTCCTGAGCCTACCGTTAATTGGGCTAGACGAGAGCGGCTAAGTCCTGATCGATCTATGTAGTGTCATGTAAAGTAAACAACGACGACTTCACAATCACACAAAAATCACATAAACAATGGGGATGAAAAATTGTTCATAAAAATAAAATTGGCTAGAAGAGTAAGCCGATTTTCCAAAAATACCTTGGCAATTCATTAACTAGGCATATATATACACCAGTCATGCCCAGCGCAGGGCACTTGCATATTGAATTCTGCCAGCGCAGAGCACTTGCTTATGGAGTTCTGCCGACGTTGGGCATGACTGATATACACCTATAGATTATATTACAAAAAAAAGGTTAAAACGGATCTCTTAATTAACCGAACCAAATTTTCCACAAATATTCGATGCGAACCGAAAGGTTTAAATGTTAGTCTCGACCAATTTTTAAGACAAATTTCGCCACTTTTTATTTTTTCTTTTGTTAAATATGTTAATAGCATGTTTGATTTACCTTTTCCGATTTCAAAAAAAAGGCGGAGTTTATCAATTCGTCGAAAGATTTTTGTTTGTTACCACATAACTTTTGACCACGGTAATCGGGTTAAATAATTGTTTCTTTAAAGGAAAGTTGGTACCTCAGAGGGCGTCCCAGACTAATTTGGTTTAGATAGAATACGATCATGGGATCATGAAGAAATTAACGATACTCTTAAATTTTTATATGAGAATTCAAGGCGGTTTTTTTTTTTCCTAAAAATTGCCGAAAGTGAGCAATTGTTCATCGCAGCCGGCATTATATATTCGCCTCTAAGATATGGAATCATCGGAGAAAAGGCGGCAAAATTACATTTTATGGAATGAAATATCGTAAGGTTTCTGTCTTAACCTCTTATCTGCAATTGAGTCAGTCCAGAGAATATAAGAAAATATGCTTATTTTCTGTTCCACTATGAACAACCCAATGATTTACTGCTCCTACTAACACTAGTTACCACTAACATTCGCATTTGCACATTCGAATTCGGAAAATACGCATTAGCATTTGCATTCGTGTTCCCAATTTTCTCATAATTATCGCGATCTAATATCTATGGGTTGAAGATGATAAAGTCCAAGCAGAAGAAAGAGTATCGTTAACGTATTTCTAAAAATTTCTATTTATTTTGCCAAATGAAGCTGTTTGATTTAAATTTTGAATAACGTCCTTCTTATACAACGGTCTCGNACTAGGCATATATATACACCAGTCATGCCCAGCGCAGGGCACTTGCATATTGAATTCTGCCAGCGCAGAGCACTTGCTTATGGAGTTCTGCCGACGTTGGGCATGACTGATATACACCTATAGATTATATTACAAAAAAAAGGTTAAAACGGATCTCTTAATTAACCGAACCAAATTTTCCACAAATATTCGATGCGAACCGAAAGGTTTAAATGTTAGTCTCGACCAATTTTTAAGACAAATTTCGCCACTTTTTATTTTTTCTTTTGTTAAATATGTTAATAGCATGTTTGATTTACCTTTTCCGATTTCAAAAAAAAGGCGGAGTTTATCAATTCGTCGAAAGATTTTTGTTTGTTACCACATAACTTTTGACCATGGTAATCGAGTTAAATAATTGTTTCTTTAAAGGAAAGTTGGACNTTATCAATTCGTCGAAAGATTTTTGTTTGTTACCACATAACTTTTGACCACGGTAATCGGGTTAAATAATTGTTTCTTTAAAGGAAAGTTGGTACCCCAGAGGGCGTCCCAGACTAATTTGGTTTAGATAGAATACGATCATGGTATCATGAAGAAATTAACGATACTCTTAAATTTTTATATGAGAATTCAAGGCGGTTTTGTTTTTTTTTTCCTAAAAATTACCGAAAGTGAGCAATTGTTCATCGCAGCCGGCATTATATACTCGCCTCTAAGATATGGCCTCATCGGAGAGAAGGCGGCAAAATTACATTTTATGGAATGAAATATCGTAAGGTTTCTGTCGTAACCTCTTATCTGTAATTAAGTCAGTCCAGAGAATATAAGAAAATATGCTTATTTTCTGTTCCACTATGAACAACCCAATGATTTACTGGTCCCACTAACACTAGTTACCACTAACATTCGCATTCGCACATTCGAATTCGGAATATTCGCATTAGCATTTGCATTCGTGAATGTCAAAAATGTGGCCTTCGCAGCATCCTTAATTATCAGTGTTCCCAATTTTCTCATAATTATCGCGATCTAATATCTATGGGTTGAAGATGATAAAGTCCAAGCAGAAGAAAGAGTATCGTTAACGTATTTCTAAAAATTTCTATTTATTTTCCCAAAATTAAGCTGTTTGATTTAAATTTTGAATAACGTCCTTCTTATACAACGGTCTCGTATAAATAAACAAGTAATTTTTAAGCAAAAAACA